TGCGTTGCAGCTGCCTGGCTTAGTTTAACTAAGAAAATATCTCTGTTGAAAGATTTGTCTGTGTTTTATATATCTTCACGACAAATCTGTAAGATTTTTTAAATAAAACAGCTTTTTTTGTAGCGAATTATGCGAACTTTACGATCCTCGTATTCATCAACGTTTTCTCACGTCAAATTGTCACTACACTATAGGGATAAATGCGGTAGATGGAGAGAGTGAACAATAATTTTGTAGGAGAAAAGGTAGAAGCGAGAAACAGTATTGTAAAACGGCCGTTTCTTGTGGCGCTAAATATTCGACGTTTGTATATTATTCGATTTTACGATATCAAAGGTCTTTTAATTAATTTAATTAGTGAAAATGTGTGATGTACAATAAAAATTAATAAAGAAAACGTGAAGAAATGGCTGTTTTAATTAATTTAATATATTTTAGTGCAAACTTTGTATGCGGATACCGATAAATGTGCAGGAAAAGACAGATAGTATGCGGATTCGGATCTCTGCCCACGTAAACATGGCTATAATTGCGACAAAATTGCATTGCCTACTGTTTATCGAGATTATTTTCCCCGAACCGGTTCACTTTTCACTTTTGCTTATGCGGATACCGATAAATGTGCATGAAAAGACAGCTAGTATGCGGATTCGGATCTCTTCCCACGTAAACATGGCTATAATTGCGACAAAATTGCATTGCCTACTGTTTATCGTGATTAATTTCCCCGAACCGGTTCACTTTTCACTTTTGCTTTCCATTTACTATGGTCTGTATGGTATTTTTTAAGTAATCAGCTATATTTGCATAAAAAAGAATAAACATTAAATATTGCAAATAGCAAAATCGCCTAAAAACGGCTAATTTTTCTTGGCAAAGCGGCTTATAAATCGGCTGCTGGCTAAACCGAATTTTTTGGGGCTGTTTGCTTTCGCAACCGGCTAAATATAGCTGCAAAATGGCTAAAATAGTAACACTGGTCAAAAGGATTGCAATTGTATCATCCGCGTCTTTGCTATCCATCTGTCCATCTGTACGCCGCCTAAACGGAAATAGTTTCAGCATAAAGTTTTCTTAAAATACGTTTATTTAGTTTGTGTATAAACTCGACATGAGACATTCGGTTTCATTGAGGTACACCTCCATTGATAGACTCTCGATTATGTTACTTGTTGCTGTCGGTGCGTAATTGCTGTAAAAGTACCAAAGGTGAAACTATTTTATATCTCCAACTCTCTAAATACACACAAATATGTCACCACCACCCACCTACGGCACGAAGCCTAATTCCAAAATCCTTTTGCAAGTATATGTCTCGTGTTCGCCCCAACTGAGTGCGTTGCAGCTGCCTGGCTTAGTTTAACTAAGAAAATATCTCTGTTGAAAGATTTGTCTGTGTTTTATATATCTTCACGACAAATCTGTAAGATTTTTTAAATAAAACAGCTTTTTTTGTAGCGAATTATGCGAACTTTACGATCCTCGTATTCATCAACGTTTTCTCACGTCAAATTGTCACTACACTATAGGGATAAATGCGGTAGATGGAGAGAGTGAACAATAATTTTGTAGGAGAAAAGGTAGAAGCGAGAAACAGTATTGTAAAACGGCCGTTTCTTGTGGCGCTAAATATTCGACGTTTGTATATTATTCGATTTTACGATATCAAAGGTCTTTTAATTAATTTAATTAGTGAAAATGTGTGATGTACAATAAAAA